TTCACTTGTCATACCTGCAGATTTTCATCATGTAAATGCATCTGTTGCAGATGAAAACCCTCGAGGGGAGGGTGGAGGTGTATTTAGGCTTGTCAGAATCATTTGCTGCTCTTGAGCTTGAAAAGAAATGAAATTAAGCCCACTCTCTTGATATCCTGTAGAGACAATTTTCCAGGTTTCTGCAGCTCTGTAAAATCCTCTCAGATGGGGGTCGCTCTGAAAAAACCTTTATTAAATGTCAGTCCGCGGGCTAATATGCATTTATTTAAACCTGAAGTTTCAGGTAATGACTCTACGTAGACTGTTCCTATCTGCTTTGTCTGGGGAGAAAATGCCTCAGTGACTAATGTCAGTGCTGCGTAAAGGCTTCATGGTTACTTTGAGCTGGTGAACAAAAGCACTTCAGACTTCAGAAGTTTTTTGTTGGCGAGTGGGGATGCAGTCTCCCAGATGCACTCGATAACAAATGAATGGCTTCACTCCTAAAAGCTTAAGTGCCTTTGGTGCAGCGGCGGTCAGACGCGGTCAGAGCCAGACACAAGCACCAAAGAACCTGTTTTGTTTGTCAAAGGAGGGAAAACTTTGCACGTGTACTGCCACAATAAAGGAAGACTTTGAAATGTCGAAATGCTTTGTTTCTCTCTGACAAGCTGAGGTTTTGCTGAAAAGTGTTTAAACTTTGTTTCGCTGGGTCGCAGCTGCTTCTTTTGTTTCCCCGAGTATACTTAGTGAAGTGAGATAAGAACATGACACCCATTTTAATATTTTTCTTTTGGAATGCTGTGTAATCGGTCATAATGGCTGGAGTTAAATGTGGTCCGAATTGCATGTTGAATAAAAGATAAGTACCCTGGATGGTTGTTCCCGTCAGGCAAATGGATGAAAATGTCAAGCCGGCATTTAAGGTCACTGTTTCTGTTGAAAAGTTGCATCTGATTCAACGATCCCCATCTGTCAGGTTCCCCATCTCTATTATGTAAGGTTGACTCACACAGGAACAGCTTTTCACAATAAAAGACACAAATTCTGGGGCTGATGTTACATCTCACAAAAAGGAGGTGATGTTTTTCACAGTTTTTCAGTCAGTTCTTTAAGACGAGTAAAATCACAGCAGGTGGCTGCCTGTCACATCAATTACTACACACTGTATCACACCCAAGAGTTACTTAGAAGAGGTTTTTTACAAGCTTATTTTCATAGACTTGTCCGTCATTCTGATCAGTTATACATTTTAGTGAACGTGGAACTAAGAAACCCCCCCCCATCACCATAAAAGTGTTTTTGTACCTAAACATAACTATGCTACCAACAGCATTGTTGAAATGTAAAGTTTCATCATATCCACTAATAATAAGGTAAAAATGTTACATATCTGTGGTTTGCAGAAACGTACAATTCAAACATTTATTCTGGCGACTGGGTTGAAGAGCTACAATAAAACTGCTCAGACATGTTTACATCGGTGGTTTTATCATTACAAAGAATGTGTGCTCTGTAGCTCCAGACACAGTTTGTCTCTGGACTGCAAAAAATCTAATATTTCCTTTAAATGGTGGCAGACATGCTGGTTTCTCTTTGTTTAAGCCAGGCAGGTCCCCTATACAAATAATGACATTATGTCTGCTTGTCATCAGCACCATCTTTCGCTGTTTAGACTCCATCCCGATGACTATGTCCCTGGAGTGGAAATCCCTCACATCCAAGATATTTTATAGATCTAAAGAGCAGCTCCAAAACTGTTCTGGCAAGTTTCTGGTCTTTTTCAGCTTGTAAATCCTGTCTGCACTATTGACTAGCTCCCGCTACTGCAAATCTCTCCCCAAGTTTAGCTGCCCCATGAGCTGACCCTGACCCTTGCAGTTTGACCTGACGTGATGACATTGTTATGTCAGATTAGAGAAATTTAATTAAATTTGTACATTTTAAACATCTTTTTCTAAAGTTATGGTAAAATGCCAACTTTTTACAGACATATATATTGATCTGATGTGCCTGTGGATAGTCAAGCTTTAAAATTATAAATTACATGAATAACAACAATTACAGCATTTCTTGTTAGAATAAGACATTTACACACCTCTCTGACCAGCTTTGTGATTTGTTTTATCTCCAAGATATTGTTAAGTGATAACATTAAGATCTGCTGTGTTCCAGTTTGGATATATTTTCTTTTTACTTAACATTTTGGGCTACAGATTGTGATGGATGTATAAGCAAGAGGGTCAAAGGTCAAGGCACAATGTCATAAGGAAACAGTGTGTCCCAATCGTATGCATGCTCCACACAACAATATGTACTTTGTAAGATCGTAAAAAGAAAAAGTATGTGATTGGGAACACAGGGTTAAACTTAAGTGCATGTCTAACATGTCTTATAAAGTTTTAAGCCAAACCCAGGGAAAACAACAATTTGTTCAAAGACTTGCTCTTTTTATGTTATGTTAAAGGGTTTATCAGTTAACAGTTATCTTCTCTAGTTGGTAACCTGGTCTTGGTTCACCGTCCTGAGTCTGATCTAAAACTCATTGTTTGATCTTGACTTTTGACTGTCATCTGTCAGTTTTAACATGGATCTGTCTCAAACTCATCCTTCATCATACGTTGACATTTTTCTTGAAAGTGTCCCCACTTCATATGGGTTGTCTTAAACTTACCCATCTCCAGAGCTGTTCCAGAATCAGTCCTTCTCTTTGAAACTGGGCTGCTTAAAAACATTTATTCCTATCCTCTGGAACAAGTTCTGCATGCCCTCAAACCAAAACAAATCTTAAGAAGCATTTGTTTTCTTCCTGCCAACCTGCATTAAAAGCTTTTAATACTTATGTGTTTGGGGCAGAGAGTTACCTGAGGTAAGTATATTAATGTACTTGGAAATGGCCTGTGGTCAGACTAAAGTGTAGAATAAATGCCCAGTAAACGTTGGTTCCTGTAATGGTTTTGTTTTTATGGCCTCCTACTGTACTTAGATGGAATCTGAAAGGTCAAAACACTTGAGCGGAGTCTGATGAGTTTATTGATCCTACGGTTATACAGACGGACAGATGAACAGACAGCTGAATACAGAAAGCACAGGAAGGGTTACCTGAACTTACCTGAAACACCATCCTGATTTTTTTTTCTTTCGACAGTACATTAAAACATATCAGTTGAGCAGAGGGAATACATATCTATGAAGACAAAATGTTCCATGTCTTGTACTGCAGTCAAATGCCACAGTTGTTAAAATTTACCTTCCTTGAAACAAAAGATAAAGACTTGATATGTGTAAGTGCTTATTTGTACTGTTAACTGGTCTGTTAGACACCCTGTGCTGTAGAGCCGCCATCCACCCAGAACTTTGGGTCCATGGTTGGCTGCACTAAATAATTATTTTGAACTACAAAAAACATCCAAAAGTAATGTTGAGTATATTAAAAGAGACATCACAAAATTAGTATTTTGCATCTATAAAATGAAAAAAAATAAATTAATAATTCCACACAGTCAATCACTTGTTCTGGCTTTATTTGGGACAAATAACAGGGGTAAAAGTGATCAACAGAGATTTTGATCTGACCCATCAGTCTATGAGGCTCTCTGGTTTGTCAAGCATAGACGAGGTACCCTGATGTCCCCCACTGGTGCATGAACAACCATTTTGATGCCTCACATTTGGCACTTACCATCTTGAATTTTTGGAGCCAGAAATGACCATATTTGGAGCTGTGGAGGAGTCGGGGGGTGGATCTGACTCAGAGACTGTCGCAATACCTTGTGGACAGCCTGTCACTCAAAGCAGCCACGCCCTTAGTTATGCATAACTTTAAGCCTTAATAAAATGTAAATGACTGAGCTATATAAATATTCACTGCCTTTACAGTTGTCGTGAATGTTGAAATTAGCTGTACAGACCAAAACCTTTTATTTTGTATCAGGCCGTAAACATGTTTATTTCTGCTGTAAAATTGGGCATTTTGGCATGGGGGTGTGTGGGGATTGACTGGCTTTTGGAGCCAGCCTCAAGTGGACATTAAATAAACTGCAGTTTTCAAAACCTCAGCACTGGCTTCATTTTTTCACTCTGGAGGCTGGTGCTTGGTGCAACCTCTTTGTAGCAATTGTTCTATAAATAGATGCTGAGTTGGCTTTTGCAAAAATATGTGGGGAAAAAAATATTATCCTTGCTTGTGTGTGATGTTTTTCAGTTTTTGTTAAAAGGGTTCAATGTTCATGACTTTTCCTCAGGAAGACTGTTAAAGGAATATTTTACACAAAATTACAAAATTACCAATTGCATGTCAGTTACTTACCACGTGTTAAGGGCCTGACACACCATGCCAACAGTCAGACATTGGTCAAAGTTCGGCCATTGGTTTTTCTGCCAATTCAGCATGTTAAATGGGCGTCAGCTCAATGGAGCCCATTGGCAAATAAAGTCACTCTGACTGGCAGTTTAGCTCAGTGCATGAGAAGATAAACGGAAGTGAAGGATGTGAACAAAGAGCTGAAGTCGAGAGGGAGTGTGGTGTATCTGGGCCTTTACTTTGAATTTGTGAAGAAAACTTTATTTTTCTCACGTGCCTCCACGTTGAACAAAGAATTCAAAGAAGGCAAATATTCTTCATAAATTAAAGTAGACGGGGACCACGTTTGGATTTGTTTGTGTTTGGATTATACTGCACAAGTTGTGTGAGACTTTGACAGCAGATGTTTTTTGCTATTAAACCTGGTCACAGCTTACTTCACACCATGGAGAAAATTCACATATTTTTGGATTCTCCATGTTCACTATGAAGGCATACATACATATATAAGCAAAAACCCTAACCAACAAGTGCTTTAAAACTAACAGGAGAGTTGAGGTGAAGAGATGTCACTCAAGTCCAGCTTCCACACTCCCACACAGTCCTGGGCGTTAGGCGGAATGAGTGAAAACACCTGTGTGGGTGGACCATAAGTGTGTGCTTCAACTTCAAATTAAAGTTCAAATCTAACGTCAAATTTCATTTCTTAAATTTCTAGAAAACTTCTACAAGGTGGAGGGAGCCAAGGATGCCTTAATCTGTGGGAACAGCAGCGACGCAGGGTGAGTGAACTTTTTCTCTTCGTTACAGGAAACATGTTTTCAAACAGACTGAGAAGCTGGGAAAGAGTGGAGGTGGAGGTGTGGGTGTATGAGCTGGACACACCTCCCTGCTGAGGGTGGAGTTTGTTGAAGGATGAAAGGGTTTTTGAGGGACAGAGGCTGAAATGTGTTGCAGGTGATTGTAAAAAAGGGTGATGTGACTGTGGTCATTACAAATGTTCAGTGATGCTTCAGGCTTTGATGATTGTTTGACATATTATTATTTTGTTCACAATTACTCAAGTAAGCAAAACTGCTGCAGTTGAGAACACTGAGCTCATGTCTTCTGTATTGTTTCTCAGGAGGAATTAATGAGTTTAGATCCCACAGTTCCACATAAAGGCTGATTCTGGTGTAAGATTTTTGACTCTATACATAAATTTGATTTTTCCTGCGCAAATTATCAAAAATGTTTAGATGGGGTTTGTGCTGCATCCCTGGGTGGCAAGATGAAACTGGATATATTTCAGAAAATGTTTAAAATGTGGAGGTGTTTCTGGTTTTGGTGGCTTGAAGTTAAAAAACAATATTTGGTGTCTGTGTAACTGCGCTGATGGCCTTAAGACTTGTGACCTGAGTATTTAGAAAAGCCTTTGACTGTCTGATTTAAACCCTCTAATAGAAAACTGTGAACACTAAAATGTTGTCCTGACCCAAACACCAGTTCCTGTTGTGTCCGATTGGTGTCAGTTTGCAGAAGGCAACTTTCTTCTGCCAGAAATGAAACCTTTCTACCCCTCAGCCCGTGGAGAAGACTGTTGCCCAGCCCAGAGCTTACTGCAATATCTCTGAGCTCTCTGTAGCCACAGGTTTGGATAAGCTCGGAGCTAACACATGCAAGTGTGAAAAGCTTAAGTTAAGTCATGCAGGAACATCACTGTCAGTCATCCAGCATGGTGGCTTGTGCTTTGTAACCCTCAGTAGCCTTTACTCAAGTACTGTACTTAAATACAAGTTTAAGGTACTTGTACATTAGTATTTCTATTTTATGCATCTTTATACTTCTCCTTCACTACATCTCAGAGGTAAATCCTGTACACTACATTTGTCTGACAGCTTTAGTTACTTTTCAGACAATCTTGAAACACATTGGCTAGTGTCTGTCGACAATAAAGGGGCAAGGGTCAATATTGCAGGAGATCTGGTGTTGCCAGTAGAATTTCTGGGCCAAGACTTCCTCTTCCATGCACCGGTCATTTTTGCCACATTCTATAAAAAGATATTTACAAATGAATGCAGGCAAATGAAAACTATATGATATAAAGCTAAATCATCATCAAATAATAGTTGATGGGTTCCAAGATTGCATTTTAGCCAATGAGCTCTGCCTCTCCAAACGGACTGTTTACCTGCTACACAAACATGATTGGTCAGTACTACTGGGACTTCAAACTGAAACCAGAATGGTTCCTGTTATAAAAATCTTCAAATATGTATATAGATATCTATTTACAGTATATAGATTACTTTTCAGATGACAGTTTTTCATCCCCTTCCTATCCAGTGAAAACCATGTATCTCCAGATGTTTGTGATAAGGAAGGATGAATTGTTCCTTCATTTGTTGAGAAAATTTAAAACCCAGTCAGAAAATGTTGGCACTGCACATTTCTGCAAATCACAGATACGTTACATTTTCTTGCAACATTTCTAAAGGAACGTAGTATACGCGCCGACTGTCATCTGGAGGTGGAGGGGATGGTGGATGGTGTGACAGCTAGAGATAGTGCCATGAAAACAGAAAGGTTTCTTATTGAGGAACCACTGTGTTTCCTACCAGGACAGTGAGATTAGTGGGATAGCGGATAATGTTGAGTCTCAAGCCAATGTTCTTTGTCCTTTGAGGGTAGCTCTCTTTTAACCCAGCTAGATTGCCACGGAAACTTGTGCTGCAGACCTAACCTGGTCGGGACCAGTTTATGTTGGGAGTTGTGCCTTGAAATTGGCTAAAAAGTGTCAAATCATCTCCTTCCATAACCAAGTGCTTTTTGTGCCGAAACCTAAACACACATTACCACAGCATTGTTAAAAATGTACAGAAACGTAAAGTGCCAAAATATCAGCTACAAATGCTACATATCTGTGGTTGGCAGAAATGTACAATGCCAACATTTATTACGGTGGTCGGATTGGAAAATTCCTCTTAAGCTAAATAAACTCTTTAAAAACTCTCTTGGATTGTCTGGAAAATGCATCATCAAAAAGCTAAAAACAGGGCATACGTGGTTCTCACAGGACAGCCACGCTACAAACATATGATGATCTTATCGAATATGATGCTTTGCTGTAGATTCAATTACCCAGCAGTATATGAAGGAGTTAAAATGAGCACAGCATTAAACACCTACAGCAGTAAAATGACACATACACATGAATGCAGCAGGAATATTAATCCAAAAACAGCAGAGGGAAAAGGAAAACACTGACAGCATGGAACAGTTTACTGCCATATATATACTTTTACTTCCCTAAGATTTCAAATGCAGAGCTTAAACTTGTAGTGGGGTATATCCACATTGTTTTTTTAGTACTTTTACTGCAGTAAAGGATCTGAACACATGCTGTATCTGAGTGAGTTTGATAAAACTTGAGAGCCAAGCAAGTTGAGTATTTTCTCTTTTCAAACTATTGGCTGTTTGGAGCTGTTGTAAATGTAAACAGAACAAAGATGGAAACAGATTGGGCTTCATTTGGTTTCATCTGTGAGACAAAAACCAAATAAACAGCAGGTTGAGTCTTTAGGCCTGTAAATAACTTTTTCTCAGAGGTGGAAGCGCTCTGTGTGGCGTTCTTCTCCTCTTTTCTCGTGTAATTACTGCAGTTTTGGCTGGCTGAGTTTCCCGCGCAGCAACACGGAGCTGTGTGTGTCTCATCATCTGTTTTGCATCTTGCTGGCAGTTCTGTGTTCTGCAGTGTTGTGTGACATGTCAGAAAGGACTAGTATCTGTGCTGACTACCCACGCTGAGAGCAGGACGCTGACAGACACTGAATGACACAGCTATGACAATACGGTGTGTGTGTTTGTATGTGTGTGTGCGTGTGTGTGTGTGTGTGTGTGTGTGTGTGTGTGTGTGTGTAAAAGAGAGACTGTCATCTAAGTCAAAGCAGCCGTGCGCTTTGGGAAAACAAGTTAGCCCGACTTAGCCTGAAGCTCGCTGACCACGCCATGTGAAACCTATATACAGATTCACGTCACCAGCAGGCTAACAGACTGATACGTCAGGAAGCTAACTGACATGTAGCTCAGTGCAGGAAACACGCTACAGGGAGAGTCAGAAGAAGAAGAAGAAGAAGGAGAGGAGGTTCAGAAGAGGTGAAGCAGAAAGGAGGACGGGCGAAAGAGAAGAAAGGAAGAGAAGATAAATGAGAGAGTAAACGGACAGAGGGGTATTCGAGGAGACAGGAGGAAGAGAGGGAAGACAGAAGGACAGAAAGATTGAGGGAGGGCATGGGAGCAGATAACAGAAAGAAATAATGGGATGGAGAGAGACAGGAACGGGGGAGAAAAGAGAGATAAAATGAAAGAAGGTGAGAGATGAGACAGATTGGGTAGCCAAAAACAGACAGAGAAAGAGATAGAACAGAGAGGAGAAGAGAAAATAAAGGAAAATAAAGAGATGGACAAAGTGACAAAAATGCTTGGTTTCAAATGGGTGCAAAGAAAGTAAAATTGGGATCAGGAAGGAGGGTAAAGAATAAAGGGGCATAGAAAGAGAGAGATAATGGATAGAGGGGTAAAAAGCATGTAATTATAAGGACAGTGGTGACTGACTGAAAACTACAGAGAGAAACGACAGAACGAGGGTTAGACAAGAGACCGAAGAAGAAGAGCTGTGGAGTTGGAGGCGACGGAGGCGGCAGAGCAGAAGAGGTCAGTTTAAATCTCTGTGTTCAGTATCTGCAGGGCGGAGCTTCAATCACTCCATAAAGTCATTTTCATATTTCTTAATGACAGAACTTAGCTCTAGTAAATTCCTGTGAAGGAATTTGTTGTCCATCCATGTATCTATCCACCTATTTTCAATCAGGGGACCCCAAGATGTTCCCTGGCCAGACAAGATATGTATTCCCTCCACGGTATTCTGGGTCTGCCCCGGGGCCTCCTACCAGTTGGACATACCTGACCAACAGGACGATATTGCCACCAAACCCCAATGCCAGAATAAATGTTGGCATGGTACATTTCTGCAAACCACTGATACGTGACATTTGTATGTTAACCATTTCAACACTGCTGCGCTTAATGTGTGGTTATGTTAAGGCGTAAAACCACTTGGTTATGGTTAGGAAAAGATCATGTTTTGGCTTAAAACACCCGGTATTGGGGGCCTAATTCCAGCTGGGACCCCAGTGATGCCTTGATAAAAAAAGCAATCACTTTTTGTGGCACTGTCCTGGCAGGAAACACAGCCACCGTTTGCTAAAACAAACACATTTGGTGCCTACAAAGCCACTGGAAACAAACCGTCTCACCAAAAACAGTCTTGAATAGTGGTCCTCAGCTTGGCAGACGTCTTGCCTCGGTGTAACACCATCCACTATCCCCTCCACCTTCTAATGACAAAGTCAGCTCATGTACTACGTCAGTTTAGAGACATTGATATGATACATAATTGATATGATACATATGAAATGTACACATGTAACGTATCCATGGTTTGGAGAAACGTACAACGCCAGCATTTTCTATTGGCAACTGGGCTGTGATGTCCCCGGAGCGATGCTGCTGGCATGGCTAAAAAGAATAATAGTCTCAGATGAAGAAAAAGCAACCAGTTGTCCCTTCAAGGTCAACATTCTTTTAGCAAATATGTGTAGCATATTTGTATAGCATATATATATTGAGATGTTGAATTGATAGGTATCTAATGTGGTGATTTACAGGAACGTAATAATGCCAACATTTTCCTCTGGTGGCTGGGCTGATCAAATTGGATGTTCGTCACGTTGCTTTTGAGATT